CATTCTATTTTCAGAATATTATCTTTTGTGCGATGAACCTTCATATTTAAAAAAGTAAGGCTATTGTTTTGTTTAATTTCGACAATAAATTGTTTTTAGGTACCTACTGCAAGTATCAAATCTAAAACAATCCCTTCCACAAAAGGAATATCAAATAGTAATTATTTCAGAGATTCTCCAATCAAATCATCAAAACCACAATTAGAGACAATTGGTGAGCTTCCCATTGGAGTGGTCAAAATTTGTTTGAGAGATAATAATTCACGAGGATATCTGAATGAAAATGAAAAAAAGAAAGCGAAAAAGAGAAAAAAATGAGAAGCAGGAGCAAGTTATTTTGGATATGCCATTCGCAACAATAAAATACCTTTTTTGCAAATATCGTACAAATAAAATAAATAAATTTAGGATGCAGAATACTATTAATTTGCTACAATGATCCAAATAGAGCACCATTTCGCTCTTTCAAATCTGTACAATTTTTTCAACATTCAAAGTGAGAATAGTATTTAAAGAAAAAGAACTTTCATTTTTGAATGATTAAAAGAAACACACCTTCTTTTTTAAAAAATAATTCAGTCACCATTTTTTTTCCTGCCTAAGGGGGTGGGGCATATATTTTTTGCTTTACTCATTACTTTTTCGTTGATAATGCATCACATGCTGTAATGATAGAGCTGAATACACATTATTATGAACAGCAACTACCTACATTACGAATTATGAAATGTACACAATAATAGGAGAGTCTCGGAGAGTAAGCGTAAAAGAGTTTTCAGGTATCTCAAATTTTCATCACTTTTTCACTACTTTTTGTAGTGTTTCACTGTGCTTCACAAAAGATATTTGTTTACAATAACTAAATAAAACTTTATTTGACGAATTTTTATTATGAATATCACGTTGTGTGTGTAGCAAAATAATTCTGCATATAACACGCATCCACTAGACCTGTACAAGCTGGTGGAGGGTTCCAGAATTCGGAAATGGATATCATTAATGGCTGAAAAATGTACAATAAGCCAATTGGTTGCATTACGATCGGTTTTAACAGACGGCTTCCGAAAAAAAAATACACTGTTTTGCAAAATTTCTTGGCATTTTGTGGCACTGATGATACTTCTCAATTTAACTCTGACATACATCTTCAAATAATAATGTCTTACAAAAATTTTAAACTTCTGCTTAGACAATCTTTATAACAACAAATTCTAACCATTATTTTTGATGGTTGGTAATCATTATCATCATCACTGGCTCGACAACCCTTTTTGGGTCTTGGCCTGTTCAAGGATTCTTCTCCATTCTGACCTGTTTCGTGCTTTTTTTTTCTACGTGTCTCAGCTAATCTTTTCTATTTGTTCTACGTATCTCAGCTTCGGTCTTCCTCTTGTTCTTTTTCCTACTGGCACTTGTTTGAATATTTTGTTTGGTATTTCGCCTTCTTCCATTCTTTCCACATGTCCAATCCAACGTAGCCTTCCTATTTTAATGAATGTTATGATATTCGGATCCTGGTATATTTTGTATAGTTCAAAGTTATACCTTCTCCGCCAAATCCCGTTTTCTTTTATGCCCTTATATATGTGTCGCAAGATTTTTCTTTCAAAGGTGGCTAACAACGTTTCCTCCCTTTTAGAGAGTGTCCAGGTTTCTGAACCGTATGTGAGTACCGGTCTTATTAAGGTTTTGTATATTTGGCATTTTGTTTTTCTGGAGACGTTATCTGATCTTAGTTGCCTAATTAAGCCATGGTAACATTTATTGGCAATAAATATTGTCCTCTTCACTTCCTCTGCAACGTTGTTATCAGGCGTAACTAGGGATCCTAAGTATGTAAAGTTTTTTACCGCCTCAATGTTGTATTCTCCTATTGTTAAATTTGGCAGCTGCCTTATTTGTGCGTTTTTATTTGCAGGCATATATTTTGTTTTTGTCTGATTGATTTTAAGACCACTATTTTTTGCAGCTCGTTCTATTTGAGTGAATGCCTCTATCATTTCTCTTCTTGATCTTGCGATTATGTCAACATCATCTGCAAATGCTAGTACTTGCACGCTTTTATTAATTATTGTTCCTCGGGTATTAACTGTTGTGTCTCTTATTATTTTTTCAAGTATGATGTTGAATAATATGCATGATAGAGCGTCTCCCTGGCGTAGTCCCTTCTTCACATCTATTGTTTCCGTTAATTCGTTTTGTATCCGGATTTTACTTTCTACTTTTAGTGTTTCTTTTATCAATTCTATTAGCTGTGTTGGTATATTAAATTCTTTCATTGATTTTTTTAGGAATTCTCGGTTTATATTGTCATATGCGCTTTCGAAGTCTATGAAGAGATGATGTGTGTCGATGTTATATTCACTTGTTTTTTCAAGGATCTGTCGCAGAACAAATATCTGGTCTATTGTTGACTTCTGTCTACAGAAGCCACATTGGTATTTGCCAACTATTTTTTCAGCGTATGGTCTAAGTCTTTCATACATTACGTTGGACATTATTTTGTATGCCGCATTCAACAGCGTGATTCCATGGTAGTTTTCACATTCTAACTGGTTTTCTTTTTTATGTAGTGGTACAATAATGCCGCTATTCCACTCCTTTGGTAGCTGTTTATTCAACCATATCTTTCTTATCAGCTCATGTATGGCTTTACGTAATGCGTCTCCTCCTTCTTTCACTAGCTCCGATGATATTTGATCCGATCCCGGTGATTTATTGTTCTTTAATTTGTCCACTGCTGTTCTAATCTCTGCTATTGTTGGTGGGCTCTTTTCTCTGTTGTCTGCTTGGTCTAATGGTATGTCAGGGTTCATCTCCGTCTTATTCACCCCAAGCTTTTCCTTAAAATGTTCTGTCCATCTTCTAAGTATCTCTTGCTGTTCTGTCAATATATTACCCTCCTTATCTTTACACATCGTTGTTCTCGGTTTGAACTCTTTTCTGCTTTTGTTGAGTTTCTGGTAAAATTTTCTTGTCTCTGTTGGTTTACTTAGTTCTTGTAGTTCTTGAAGTTCTTTGTTGATATATTCTCTCTTCTTTCTTCGGTGAATTTTCTTTTCTTCTTTAGAACATTTTGTTTCTCTGCTTGTCGGGTTCTGTGCCTCTGTTGCATCTGTAGATATGCTCTGTTTTTTCTTTCTGTTATAGTTTGACATTCTTCGTCAAACCAGTGATTCGTTCTTGTTCTTCTTTCTTTACCTTCCGTGCCCAACACCTCTTTAGCTGTTTCTTTTATGATTTCTCTGCACTCTTCCTACTCCTCATTTAGGTTTTCATGTTTTGGTCTGTTTGCTAGTTTGATGCTTATATTTTCTTTGTACTCTCTATTTTTGTTTGTTTCTTTGAGTCCTTCTATATTGTATCGTTCATGTCTAGAGCCTCTTTCCTTTTTGATGTTTGAAATTCTAGCCCTTATCCTAGTTTCGACCAGGTAGTGATCAGAATCCGCATTTGCCCCTCTTCTGGTACGGACGTTTATTATATTCGATTGGTGTCTTGAGTCTACAATAACATGATCTATCATATTCACTGTAAGTCCGTCTGGTGATTTCCAGGTGCCTTTGTGTATATCTTTTAGAGCGAAGTATGTGCTGGCAATCACCATGTTAAGTGATCTTGCTAGGTTTACCAACCTATTGCCATTGTCATTTGATTGCGCATGGAGACTGTGCTTACCTATTGTGGGTTGGAATTGCTGCTCTCTTCCAACTTTTGCGTTTAAGTCTCCATAAATTATTTTTATATCACTTTTTGGGCATGACTGGTATGCGGACTCTAATTCATCATAAAACTCTTCTTTGACTTCCTCTTCTTTTTCTTCTGTGTGGGCATGCGCATTAATTAGGCTGTAGTTGAAGAAACGTCCTTTAATTCTTAAAATACACATTCTGGCACTGATGGCTCTGAAGTCTTTTATTATATGTCTTACTCTCTTGTTAACTATGAATCCAGTGCCCAAAATGTGATCTTTAGGAGCGCAGCTGTAGAAAAGATTAGATGGTTGCTAATACATAATATGTCAAATATGACGGTAAAAATCTCTGAACTTATCTATTATTGACCAATAAATTTTGGATTTTGCTTATTTTAATATGCTTTACTTTTGTTTTCTGTCTGTAAAGGTTTTTCTTTTGTTTAAAAAACAAAATTTTCAATAGTATTCTTTTTTAAAACCTAATACCAATTCAATTTATTTCTCATTTACAAATCCAGCATTTCTTTGACAAATTAAGCCCAGTTTGATTCCAATCAGAAGTAATCTTCCAGGGTCTATTTCTTTGACTATTCGTTACAAATTTTAACAACAATTCTCCTTTCTCTATCGAAAACAGGTTTTGAAAAACGATAACTTTTAACTTTAGTATCAGGTATGATTCCGGTTCGTTTATAGTCTTTATTAGTTTCCAAACCGTGATTTTTGAAACATATAATTCCTTGACTAAGTATTTTAGGAATTTTTTAAAAAGGACATAATTTACCTAATATTAATATTAGACAAATGTAAACTGACCAATTGACACTCGCAGTCGCATTCTCGTCATATGTGCTATTTCCACCATATTTCATATTTCTGTTGTACGATGTACCAGTATTCTGTTTTATTATTTGTATCTACTTTACTTTGCCGCACTATTTAGTTTTCAGATTCGCTATAAAGCCTCTATTATGTTTATTTCTGCAATTATTCTTATTTAACTTAACTATTAATTAATATTAAAAAAAACAAGCTAAAAAAGTAATTAAGCAAACACTAAGTACCAAATATACCAAAAATGTATGTTTTTTCTTTATCATGTTATACAAATGTTGATATAAGACTTATATTAAAGGCTATCTGAACTTATAATGTCCTAAGGATACTTACCAAAGCAATGAGCAGAAACATTTTTAAGAAATTATTATTTTAAGCTTTAAAAAATGTGTTTTTCGCAAGTTTACGCAGATTAATTATTGCAGATAGATGCAAAATTATTTTTGAGATAATATGAGAGACTTACCAATATTAACATTTCCAACCGTAGCTTGTTTGTAAAGCGAATACAATTCTAGAAGATCATTATCTGGAGGTCTCTTTGAAAATTTTCTTACTTGATCACAAGCCGATTTAAACTTCTAAAAAAGAGCACAAATTTAAACTTTATATTTTAACATTTTTCTCAATCAAAGTAACACGCGTTAAACTATTGAAATATGTTCTCTAGGAAATTATACATTAATAAAGTTTATATATATATATATATATATATATATATATATATATATATATATATATATATATATATATATATATATATATATATATATATATCGTGGTACGGTGTTTGTCCAAAAGCTAATATTCAAAAACCACTGAACCAATGGTTCAGTGGTGAAAGTGTATTTCTTGGCCCAACTTAGGAGATACGATATTTTTTATTTCGATGAATGGCTCTTATTTTTTTTTAATTGTAAATTTAAAATGTTTAGGTTACCTCTACAGTTTTAGTTTATTTGATCCATGAAGTTATAAAATATCAAAAAATGATAACAAATGTCATTTTATGTTTTTATATATTTTTTTTATAATAAATCGAGGACGGCTGAATCGAATTGGCTAATTATGGTATTGAAATATTCATTTCAAATCCTAGGAAAGTCTAATAGGTAAAAAAAAATTAATAAAATTATAAGGAAAGTAGTAAAACCAACGAATTTATTTTCCCATATAAAATAAACAATTACATTATACCCTTATACAATTGTTTTATACGACTCTATAGTCAACTGGTAGTTCATTTAAACGAAACGTAATATTTAATAAAACATCAACAGAAAAGAATCAAGGCAATCACAAAACAATGCAGAGTTCAGAATGGCGACCTATTAAAAACAAGGAAAGATTTGTTGAGTAGATTGGTGGAATACTTTAACCAGACACTTAATATGGACGAAGAAGAAGAAAACCTGGAAGACGAAAGATATGAGGTAAGGGGAGCAGACGAGAGGGAAGAATGAACAAACAACGATTGATGAAGTTAAAAATGCAGTTAAAAAACTAGCCAGAAACAAATCATCCGGAATAGATAATCTTCCAGATGAACTATATACGGTGGCCACAATACCATTATGGCATTACAGCAGCTTATAAAAGAAATATGGACACAGAAATCCGGCCCTAATGATGAGAATATTGAAATTAACCATACACAAAAAAGGAGATCTTTTTGAATGCTCTAACCACAGAGGAATTACGCTTCTTAATGCCCAAAACTTCTCGACAAGCTAGTGACAAACAATATAAAAATACCCCAAGAGCATGGCTTTCAAAGGGGGAGGAGCACAGTGTCAATATTGTTGGTCTACCAAGATGATATATTGGGTGCCTTTGAGAGGAAGTACCAGGTGGACAGCATCTATACTGACTTCTCAAAGGCATTCGATAAAGTAAATCATCGTTATTCAATAAGTAAATTAGGAGTCATTGGTATAGCTGGCAAATGGCTTGATTGGTATGACAGTTTTCTTGTGGGTAATATCCATAACATTAAGATAAATGGTGTGTTGTCTCAATCTGTTGACGTCCTCTCTAGAGTACCACAGGGATCACATTGTGGTCCTCTACTTTTTATCCTCTTTGTTAACGATGTTGAGAAAGTCATTAAGTATTCAAAATTTCTCAACTTTGCTGATAATAAAAAAAATTTATAAAGTCATTACTTGTCAGTATGATCAAATTCAGCTACAAGAGGATCTCAGCAGATTTAGCGATTGGTGTAAACTACATGAATTAAAATTGAACATTGATAAGTGTTGTGTTATTACTTTTCACAGGAAGCAAACAATTTTAAATTACGATTATAGCATTGATAACACTCAGCTGTCTAGGTAGGACTGTGTTAAGGATTTAGGTGCGTATTTTGATTGTAAATTAGCATTTCGTAAGCATCTAGAGGTCACAGTAAACAGTGCATTTAAACAATTAGAGTTTATAACTAGAAACACTTCTTAATTTTCATATTTTGTTTTACCAATTCTTTTTAATAATCTCATTCGCTCCAGACTAGACTATGCGATAGTTGTATGGGGACCTTACTATCAAACATCTATAGACAAGCTTGATCGTGTTCAGCATAAATTTGGTAAACACTATCATTACTGTAGTGCTTTTCATGACCTCTCTGTCCCATACAGTTATAGTATGATAGCTGATCACTTGAAAATGGTTTCTATGAATCGGCGAAAAGATTATTTGTGCGTAATATTCCTTTACAAAATTACTAATAATTTGATAAATTGCCCTGAACTTTTAAATCGATTAAGTCTTAACACTCTTCATGGAAGTAGGCATACTTCGTTCTTTCATCTACCATTTCATCAATTTAATTATGAATACTTCAAGCCTCTCACTCATATGGTGAGACAATATAATAGGTACCAAAGTGATCTGGACTTATTTTTCCAGTCCTTAGACCAATTTAAAAATGTGATAAAGAGACTGCTATTTGTGTGATATTAGTTTGTATTCAAGTTAATTATTAGTTTTTGTTAAACTTTACTAATTATTTTCCAATGTTATGCTTACTTTGTAAAATTTTATATATTATATTTTGTTCCAATGTAAATGGTATAAAATCCGTTAATAAATAAATAAAAAATATATATATATATATATATATATATATATATATATATATATAAAATATATTGTTCAGAAACCAGGACACTCTCCAAAAGTGTTGAAAGATTATTAGTCACCTTTGAAAGAAAAATCCTGCGACACACAAACATAGTCACCAAAGTAAAATGGATACAAATTTGAACTATACAAAATATATCAGAATCCGGATATCTTAACATTCAATATAATAGGACGGCTGTCTTAGATGGTATATCTGTAAATAATGAAAGAAGGCGAAGTATCAAACAAAATAAGCAAACAAGTGCCCGTAAGAGAGTAACAAAAGAAAGACCGAAGATAAATTATATACCAACCATAAAAATAAAAAGCAGGATATAGGTTAGAATGGAGAAGAATCATTGGACAGACCAAGACCCAAAACGGGTTGTCGAGCCAGTGATGATAATCAAACCAAAAAAAGGTAATATTTTTTTGTTAAGTTATATAATATATAAGATATAATTCAATAAATAATGTTTTTACAAAAAAATAAAAGGAAAGTAAGTAACTACATGTAAAAATATAACGCCCAAAAAAAATTATCTTTAAAATAACTAATAAAAGAGCAGTATAAAAGATCTTACCTCATCTAAAGACATCTTGGAACTTAAATAAAATAGATCTGAATATACCATATTAAACTATTCCTTTTTATAGGCAAAGTAAAGTAAATATAAATTATACAGACAGTCAAAAGTTTATAACAGTTAAGTAAAATATATCAGTATTTTATCTGTCTAAAAGAAAAGTTTAAAACCTCACAACTAGGTCAAATTTTCAACCGTTCAATATAAAAAATTTTTAATTCACTTTTTTCTTTTAAATAATATGTTTAGAAGAAAAGTATCGGGTTTTAAAAGTGTACTTAACGGAAAAGTGTATTATTTTAATATGGTAATAAAATACTATAGCAAAAGTTTCATCAAAATGCAATATGGTTTGCAACCTAGATCACATATTTTATGCTTGTAGTAAATTTGAAAGACAAAGACAGTAAATGTAACTTATTAATAGTTTATTGTTACAAAAATTATACCTCTTTTAAATCTACTTCATTTGCTGTCATTAAGCATGTATAAGGTGTATTAAATTATTTTTAAATTCATAAAAATGTGTCACTTAAAACTTTAGTCTAGGTATCAAGCTTGTTACCTCTGTTGAAGTTCCAAATATCGCCATGTTACCAAATCCACTGGTAACTTTAACATCCTAATATATGATACCAAATAATGTAAACTTAATTTAAACATACTAGAAATAGTTTCTATTTCTTTTAAATAGTCTTTATTTCCTAAGAAATAAATTGTATGAAGCCATGAATGAATTCCACATCCCCGATAAACTGATAAGATTGGTTAAGGCTACAATGCGTAATGTGGTTTGCAAAGTCGAAATACAGAGCGAACAATCACAGGCATTTGGAACACATGTTGGGCTGCAACAGGTAGACGCGCTGGCGTGTCTCCTTTTCAACATAGCACTGGAAAAGGCGATCAGAGATGCCCGAATAGACAACAGAGGAAATATTTTTAATAAATCATCCCAAATTTTGGCATATGCAGATGATGTGGACCTAGTTGCCCGCACAACACGCAGGCTAGAAGAAATGTATACCACCTTCTCAAATGCCTCAAAATCTATGGGCCTGCAAGTAGATCGAAGACAGACGAAGACCTTCTGTTTATATTTGAGCGAAGGATCCTGAGAGGAATATTTGGTGGCATCTGTGAAAATGGTGTTTGGAGGAGGACATATAACTACGAGGTATACCACAGATATAAACAAATATTTGTTTAACAACAACCCTCCTAAAAGAATCCTTATGTCACAACCCGTAAGAAGTAGAAAAAGGGGTAGGCCAAAACTCAGATGGAAGGATGGTGTAAATGAGGATGGTAGAAAGATAGGCGCAGCAAACTGGCAACGGTTGGCAATGGATAGGACTGCCTGGCATAATAGACTTGGGAAGGTCGAGGCTCTTTCATAGAGCTGTAGCACCATTGATGATGATGAATTTAAACATACAACTTTTAACGGGTTTTTACCCAGATATTTAGTGGCTCAATACATGTAGACCTAGACATAGATGATGGAACATGGATTCCGAAAACGTTTTGTGATATAGCCCGATTGAGTTTTTTAAATTATATACCTTTTATAAAGGATTTTAATAAATTTTTTCATTTATAAACAATGTTATACTTCTTTAATTGACACACTGAAGCTGGTCGCCTTTTTATGTAATAGGTATATCACGCCTTGAAACCTATCACAGGACATGGTCTCATTTTACCAGATAGGAGGTAAAGGCTTATGCAGTGTTGTAGTAGGATGACACCACCATTATTATACCTCACTGCAAATTTTTAAACTTTTTAATGGCTTAGGCAACCACTTCAATGCTCTCATTGGTTATTTTGTTTAGATTTCTGTAGAACTTTCATTTCGACTTCTT